CCCCGCGCTGGCCTCATCACTCGGGTGTGACGCGCCGTGCCCGTCGCCGCGCCATGCGCTCCAGGCTTCGGCCTCCGTTTCGGGCCTGTCCGGGGCCTCAGGGGCAACGGCGCAGGGCACAGGTCTCCGCGCCCAGGGCCCTGGAGCCCCGCGCATGCTGAGAGCCCGCGCAGCGCGGGAGGGGCCAGCGGGGCCGCGGGTGTGAGCGCGGGAGCCCGGGAGCGCGGCTGTGCGCGCGCGCGGGGAGGGGCCGCGCCGTCACCCGGAGAGCCCGGCGGATCCCGGACTCCCGCCCGCCGCTCCTCCCGCCGCGCACCTCGGCTCACCGCTCGCCCGGCTCCAGCCGCCAACGCCGCACGGTGAGTACCCGCTCTCGGTCGCCTGCTGCCCTCGCGCCCTGTCCCTACAGCTTTTTTTCGTTTAGTTCCGATTTGGGTTCTTGTGGTGGTTGTTTTTATTATTATACCTGAAGACTCCATCGCCTCACTCTCTCTGCTGCCTGCCTGCTGCCTCGTTGCCCTCTCCACGCTCACCCCTCAAGCCCCAGCAGCCAGCGAGGGCTCCCCGAGACACCCTGGCCGCTGCTCCTTGTCGCTGCACACAGCCCTTTGCCCCGGCTTTCCGCTCGAAATTCGACTCCTTTCCTAGGGCCCCCCTTCTCCTGTCTCCGGAGCCCCCTCCTCCCACTCAGGGAAACCCCGGGGGGACTCCAGACCCTCAGCTTGGGGAGGACGCCCTCGGCTCCAGGCGCTCTCTTCACTGCACGCGGGCAGGACACAATTGCCGATTTCGGGAAACCGAGAAGACCTCGTTATTTCCTAGGGCCAAGGCTCTCCAGCCACTTACCTGGCCTGCCCGAGAGCCCTTCAGCGGGGATGTGGGGCTTTTCTTGCTGATCCCTCAGCTGGGGAGTTAGGACAGCGTTTTTACTTTCTAAAATGTTAAAGGGGACTTCAACGCAAAAGGAGGGTCAACTAGTTTCAATTTGATCCACGGAGATAAAGATGAAACAGACAGGTAACAAATAAATAGCTTGATACTTGAAGAAGGTATGAAGACAGATGGGAGAAAGAGGAGAGACCTGGGAGAGACAGACAGCTCAGGGACAGATAAGATCGACAGATGAGGGGCACCTAGACAAACAGGGAGGTAGGGAGACAGAAGATCCCAGTCTCTTTGATGAGGCTTTTGAGCTCGGATCCCCTGTCCTGCTGGAGCTGCCCCTCTGAAAATGAATTTGCCTTTGCTGCCGAGTTTAGAGGAGGGGTCGTCAGGACTGAGCTGCCTGGGCCGCAGGAGCACCTGCAGCCATGGGCCGGATGGGAGCTTTCCGTGTCGGAGGACACGTGGCGGGGCTGGGCCACCTAGGGGCCCCAAGCATCAGTCCCCAGGTCCTCGCGCTGCTGATGTCGTCGGTCGTGGCTATCTCCCGGCCTCAGCCAGAAAGCAAAGCTTGGGATCGGCGGTAACTTTTGACATGGAGCCTTTTGGTGGCTTCAGAGACCATCCAGGATTCCTCTCAGCCCATATGAATCAAGACAGCCGGGAATGAAGGATACTCAAAAAGGAGAGGCCCCTCCCTCAAAGAGGAAGCCCAGAGTCTGGAGAGACTGCATTTGGCCATAGTGGTAAAGGCATACCTGAAGGAGGAAAACTTAGGGAGTGGGCGGCTAGAAGCAAAGGAGAAGTGGCTTCTGAGAAACTTCCTTGAGAACCTCTCTGTCCCACGTGCTGACCCAGAGGGAAGCCAGCTTTGGTCTGGAATGCAGCTGAAAATTCAGGAAATGTGGTTAGGAGTTGCTTGACCCTGATCCCACTGATGGCTGGGGAAAAAAAAAACAACAAAAAACGGTTTACACTTCCAGCCAGAATCTTTCTATTCAACGAACGCGGGACTCCGAGCGTAGGAGGAGAAGCAAGTGTTTGTGGAAAGTAGCTGTTATCCCGGGGAGCCGCCTTGGCACGGAGCTGGGTGCAGTGGGGACAGCTCTGGGGCTGGGCGCATAAGGCATGCTTTGAAGAGAGTCGGGTTCAGCACCGCGAACAGCGGTCTCCTCAGCCTCTCCCCGCCTCCCTCACGGCCTCTAGACCCTCCTCTTCTCTTTGCCCCCCGCCCGCCCCCTGCCGTCTGGAGATGGGCAGTGACCGCCCCTCCCCCCTCCCCTATTCCTCCCTGCGCTGCCCCCTCCCGCCCGCGTGCATGCGCGGCTGAGCAGAGGAGCGGCCTGTCCCCGAAGTCCCGGCTTCAGGACCCGGGCGGGTAGGGTAGGCTGCGAGGGTGGCCGAAGGCACACAGATCTGGGTGCCAGGAAGCCTGGGTTCCGCGATGGCTTTGCTGTGTGGCCTTGGGCAAGTCACTTTCCGTCTCTGGGCCCCACCTTCTCCCCAATCCGAAAACGGGATTGGGTTCCTAGCTACTGGGGGCATTCATGAGGTCTCAATTACCCCCTCCTCCTCCTCCAAACCCCGCGGGCTTTTGTTCCGGTGCCAACATATGTCTAAATAACAAAAAGCCCCCGTCTAGGGGGCGAATGAGCTTGAACTCCCCATTGCCAAGTTTCTCCGCGCCCCGAACTCGGCGTGCCCTGCTGGGCGGACCCGAGCCGCGGAGGCTCTGAAAATGGCTTATCGGCTCTCTACTTTCTCTGTTTCGCAGGAGCGGCGGCATGGAGGCTCTCACCACTCAGCTGGGGCCGGGGCGCGAGGGCAACTCCTCACCCAACTCCAAGCAGGAGCTGCAGCCCTACTCGGGCTCCAGCGCTCTCAAACCCAACCAGGTGGGCGAGACGTCGCTGTACGGGGTGCCTATCGTGTCTCTGGTCATCGACGGCCAGGAGCGCCTATGCCTGGCGCAGATCTCCAACACTCTCCTCAAGAACTACAGCTACAATGAGATACACAACCGCCGCGTGGCCCTGGGCATCACGTGCGTGCAGTGTACGCCGGTGCAGCTGGAGATTCTGCGTCGGGCCGGGGCCATGCCCATCTCGTCGCGACGCTGCGGCATGATCACGAAGCGCGAGGCCGAACGCCTGTGTAAGTCGTTCCTGGGCGAGCACAAGCCACCCAAACTGCCTGAGAACTTCGCCTTCGATGTGGTGCACGAGTGCGCCTGGGGCTCGCGTGGCAGCTTCATCCCCGCGCGTTACAACAGCTCTCGTGCCAAGTGCATCAAATGCGGTTACTGCAGCATGTACTTCTCGCCTAACAAGTTCATCTTCCACTCGCATCGCACACCCGACGCCAAGTACACGCAGCCCGACGCAGCCAACTTTAACTCGTGGCGCCGACACCTCAAACTCAGTGACAAGTCGGCCACAGACGAGCTGAGCCACGCTTGGGAGGACGTAAAGGCCATGTTCAATGGAGGTACCCGCAAGCGGACCTTCTCTCTGCAAGGAGGCGGCGGCGGCGGCTCTAATGG